TAAATATTGGTGAATAAAATGACACATTTACAGTGGAACACATGTTTTGCATTTGTGTATACCAAATAAATGAATTAGTGCTGCTGATTTATTGGAGACCTCATAGTGAAATACTGGCTTTTCAGAGGTGGATTTGACATTATGTTCAATAATTAAAGTATCACAATTGTTAAGCAAAGTGCTTAATATATCTATTCTAGTGCTTTTAAATCCAACAACTTTTCTTGAAGCTGCTGCTATGAATACCAAGGTAAATGGATAACCTTTTATTTCATGGAATGAACTGAGCCTGAGAACTAATACACTACATACTGTTGTTGTCAAATCTGATTTTGCATTTTAGCCTCTAAAATTTCCATTATGTAGTTTTCGAGAAAAATCGCAGTATCTATTCTATAACCATGAACAGCCTTGTACTTGTATATTTTGATTTCCTTTGAAGTAGTTGCCTGAGTTTTTCTGAGTTTAACCATTATTATGAAAACATGAGGATAATTGAAAGCAAATAAGATGGTGTAGTTAACCTGTTCTCATAGACAAAAACGTCTGCAGTTTTCTTTCAAAAAATTACTAGAGTATAAGTGAAATAGGATATGGGATTTATGTTTCAGGAGAAAGAGATCACATAATTCATTACAAAGACTTTTTGAAGATAATTATTAAAAGAGCTTCACTTCAAAGTTTATAAATTTTTATAGAATTCCAAAGGAATATTTTCATAGTATACCATTATCCCATGAAAGCTTGGAAGTCAGCCTATATATCAAGTAGCTAGATAAAAAAGATATGAATGGCAAACCAGGAGAAAGAAGATATGTACCAGCTCCCCACAATGAATTTAATCTTAAGCATCACAAAATATATTAAGAAAAATTAATTTTTCTTTTCTTTTTTTTGTACTCAGGACCTTGTGCTTGCCAGGCAGGCGCTTACACCACTGAACTGTATCTCCAGCCCCTAAAATTTTTGAATTTATTTTTATTGGTACATGTTTGCAGTTCATAATGGTCACAATCATCATGAGAGATTTGTACATATGCATGACATGTCTTAATTCTTTTTTGTCCCTTTCACTTTCCATCCTTTCAACCTTTCTTCCCCTTCCCATTTACAAAAGCTCTGTTTCCATTCTTTTAATTCCTTTTTTCCTCTAGGTCCTTTTACTCTTCCTTCTCCCCTCCTCCATCTTTTGTTCCCCTCCCATTCGAAAAATTCTTCCTGCTTCATAATACCTACCTTCCATTTTGCTCCTTTTTTTCTACTTTTGGTTTCTCACACAAGAGAAAAAAATGTAAAGCTTGGATGTCTGATTTGCTACAGTTAAGATTATGTTCTTGAGGTGCTTCTGTTCACCTACAAATGATTCAAGTTTATACTTTATGGCAGAGTAGTATTCCATTGTATATAAATACATTTTTTTATCCATTCATCTGTTGATGAGCATATGTGCTGTGTCTTAAGGTTTAGCTATTATGAATTGTGCTGTTATAAACATGGTTATGTATTTATCGTTGTGATATAATGTTTTAAAGCTTTCAAGAAGATACGTAGAAGGGGAATAGGTAGGTAGGTTAAATGTAATGTCTAGTTTTAGGTTTTTGAAGAATCTCGATATTGTTTTCCATTGTGGTTGTACCAGTTTACACTCAAACCACCAATAGAGGAAGGCTTCTTTTTCTTCTGAACTCTTGCAAGCATAAAAATTTTTTAAAAAATTAAATGTTTTTTGAAAAAAAAAAAACACTACCCCAAATTTGAATGAAAATTCTGAAGCAAAGGTTCATGTTTATGTCATTGCTATACTAGTTTGTTTTGCAGAGGATTTATTTATTTATTTTGAGATAGGGTCTTACTATGTGGCCTAGGCTGGCCTCCTGCCTCAGCCTCCAGAGTACTCGAATTATAGCATGTATCATCATGCCCAGCTTTCGTTGCCAGATTTTCTAGTGCTGTGTGATAGAGTCAATGTTCAATAAATGTGTGCTTGATAAACTTTATTATGTTATTGAGATGTAGGAAAGAATCTTTTAAGTGGCCTCCATTATTGATACTTTTTAAAAACATAGTGGGTCTTTTCTGAGCACAACTTAATGAAATAATCACCATCTTTAAAATAAATACAGATTTTAATCAACTATTTTCTAGAAATTTGTTCTAAGAAAGAGATTGAAAATACCCACAAAGGTTTAAGGATTGTCACTTTAAGTTTTAGAAAAAAATTAAACTAATGATATGCCACTCAGAATTGACTCTTGACAACGTCTTTTTAGTTGTGTATGTTTTTGTTTTTAGCACCATAGGTTAAGCCCAGGGATTGACACTTATGTAGGCAAGCCTATTTTATTTTGGGATAGAGTCTAACAACTCCAGGCTGCCCTCAAACTTTTGATCCTCCTACTTAGGCCTCTCAAGTACTAAGATTATAGGTATGCAGTACTGCCTGGTAAATTTTTATAATGGCAAGCATGAACTAATTAAAATTAGTTAAATATGTTACACATTTCGGGGAGAGGGGCAGCAGACACCACCCGACTTGGGTAAAGGCGGCATGGTGCCGGGGTGCAGGCAAGCAGAGAACCATAAGACCGTTTACCCTAAAGAAAGAGAAGTGTGTACCTTTTATAGAAATGTAAAGGCAGAGAACATTAGGCGGAAAGATTTTTAATAAACATCTGTGCTCCAAGTTCTCTGGCAGTCTTGCACCTCAGTGGGCAAGGCCTTGCAGTGTCTGGGGTCAGTGTAAATTTTCAGGTGTCTCCAGATTTCCTGAGGTGTTTCCAGATGTCCTGGGACCTGCAGGACTCCTTGGACTGTCTTACGTACTTTCCTGTGCTTGGTGATGACAGCCTCAGGCACTGAGCTGAATTCCCTGCAGAGTAGTGCCTCTGCTGGCAGGGAGATTGGGGGCTGGCAGGGAGATTGAATGGTTAGGTCCCATTCAAACATTGCAGTCACCTTTATTATTTAGTTAAAAACCAAGCCAACCAACTATGAAGTAGTTTTTTTGGTAGGCTTTGTTTTTGGTCATAATTACTCCAGAGTGTTAAATGATACCATGGAAATGCCAGGAGAAAAATCCAGACTTCTTGAAGAAGAAATGAGTTTTTAAAAAAAGAAATTGCAGGAGCAGAGCAGATAGTTCAGCAGTCTAAGTGCCTGACTGGCAAGCACAGGACCTTCGCAGAGACACACTGTGCTGTCCACTGAAACCAGGTGTGGTGACACATGTCTGTAATCCCAGTGCTGGGGAGGCTGAGACAGGAGGATCACTACAAGTCTGAGCTATGTAGCAAGACCCTATACCAAATAAATAAATTTTTAAAAAGTAAATTGCAAAAGAGAAGACTGGGTGTGGTGGTGAACACCTGTAATCCCAGCACTTGGGAGGCCATAAACAGGAGAATCACTACGAGTCTGATATATTAGTGAGACCTTAAACACCCTGTAGACCCTTCCCTAAAATACAAAACAAAAAATGGAAAAGGCTTATATCAAAAGAGATTTAAGAGATAAATCACCTAATTTAAATGCATGAGCTATATTTGGATATGTATTCAGACAGATCAAATTTTAAAATTATATTGGCAATGTGTTAATATTTGTTAAAGCTAGATAACTGTGGGATTTACTACTTTCCCTTGCTTTTGCTTATGTTTGAAAATGTGGATTGTGGTATGTCTAAATATTTTTTTCTGTTTTCAAATTTTTTTAACATCATTAGAATCACAATTATTTCACTCTTTTAATTCTGAAATATTTTCAGTATCCAGCATGAGTTTTTCATTTCCATTTTCAGAAAAGTACATTTTGTTCTCAAAAGAGTTAAGTTTTTTCAAGATTATTTTAGATTTTTTATTTGTCTTGTTAATTTTATTGAGAAACAGATAACAATGAGACAGTTTCAAAAAGGATTAGGAGGACAGTTTCAATAATTAATACATTGCGTATTGTTGTCTTTGTGGTGGTTATTCCTAGGACAAGATGCAGACATGATATCCTGCCCAAACACTATTAGTACAAATCTTTCTTCTCATTGAATTAAGAGAAAGTAGCTCTATAGTCCTTGCTTTGTATCCCCTTTTTTTGTTTAGTTTTGTCAGAGATGGGTATTCAGTTGCCATTTAAATTATTGTAGGTGTGTGAATTCAGCAAAATAATCCAATATAGTCTAGCAGTTCATAATAGTAGTGGGTTTTCCATAAAACTGGCAATGTCAGAAGTTGTTGACTTGAACCTTTTACAGCTCAGCATATTAATATGGTTTTACTTTTTATACCTCATTTTTATATTTTTCTGCTGGATGGTTAAGACCAAGATAAAGCAAGACCTATGTAACAAGAATTGTAGCTTTTGTATCTGATAAGGTCAGTGAAATCCCCTCAGGATTTATCCTGAGATCCTGTACCTCAGATTGTAGAACCTTTTTCAGTGTCAGCCATGTGGTGCATCACGGCCATTGCTTGGCCAATTTGCTCTCTGTGAAAGCCTGAGAGAGTGTTTTCTCTCCATGTGACTCTCCTTAGGCACATTCTACGTCATCGATCACTTTCCTCTTTGGTCCCATAATCTCCTTAATCAGAAAATTTTGGACACAACTGAGTTACATGATGTTACAGTACAGGTTCTCCTACGTCCTGAGTGTTAATTGATCTTGGAAGGCTAGGGCCAAAATGTTGGCTTTCCTTGCGGCCCTCCTTTTTTTCTCTAATTTTTGATCTGCAGACTTAGGTTGTTAACCCTCCAGAAACAGCTTCCTTATCTTCAACAAAGGGGCCAAAGATTATTTTAGATTTACAGTCCACCCGTTTTGGAGGGAGCAGGCCCTGAGTTTTGACCCTGTCTATACTAAGTCTATACTTTATCCCCACGCTACACTCCCAGTCCGTCAGTCATCTATTCTTGGCAGCAAAAATAGGCAAGAAGCCTTTCAATTTGGAAATAAGCAAGTGTGAGTAATATTGATATTCATTGTAAACTGCTGTTGTATTTAATTATTTCAGATTTCCAAATGCTGGAAAATCCTCTTTGCTAAGTCAGATTTCTCATGCAAAACCAGAAATTGCAAATTATGCTTGTAAGTATAATTTGTTGTGTATTTTAATGTGTGGAGATAAGTTTTTAAAGACTGATTTTTCTCTGAGTGTACATAAACTGACAACTCTAAGGGTACCCCTGGAGAAGACTTCTTTTGACAGTTAAAATACTTTTTTGTATTAATCTTTGACCTCATGTAGCAGTCAGTGAAGTTTCTTGTACTTGTTAGATATTTTGTTGTACAATCATTAACGTGGCTTGTTTAGGATTTTATAAGTTATTTGCCCTTCATCTAGCACTATGATAAGTTCTAGAAAGGTAGAAATAATACTTTAATTAATTTAGCAAATAAATTTCTAGGAACCAGATTAGTTTATGGGATTAGAAAGTGTGGTAAGCAGAACCAGCTAATGTTCTGACAGTAAACTGTGCTTAGAAATACTGGGAAAGCATACATATCACTAATCAACATAAAAGGAAGTGTTCTGTGACATAGTGTGGGTGACTGCTTTAGATGTACTTGAGGAATTGTGCTTGGGCTGAGATATGAAGAATAATCGAGTTCGTAGTGTGAGAGATGATGGAAACTTAGGTCAAGCGTAAGTGATTATGTTAGAATCTATGCCATTGTTAAAAAGACGTAGAATGGCATTAACTGGAAAATAAACTTAATGGATCCAGTGACCAAGAGTTGGTTTTGTACTAATTGTTGTAAATTACATGTGCAGTGTACTAACACGTAGAACTCTCATGAAGATGAAGAACTGTAGAGAAGCATAGCAAAGAGGCTAGTCTGGGATTGGTAGTGCTTGAGAGTAACTGGATTGGAAAGGAATCGATGTTTTCATCTCTAGAGTTAACTGACAGAAACTTACGTTTTGATCCCTCTAAATATTTTCTAAAGTGCGGTGGAAGAAATTGTGAGGCCCAATTAGATGAGGCTTGCGCCTGTACAGAAACTGAAAATCAGTGTTTGTCCTGTTGCAAGTACATTTCAAATGGCAAAGATAATTGTAGCTTCCATTGCAACAAATTTAAAAAAAATTGAATTGAACTGTATTTTGTTTCTGTGAGCCAACCTTAATTTTAGGCTTAATTTGTTGTTTTTCCTTTCAGTTACAACAGTAAAGCCTGAACTTGGAAAGATTATGTATGATGATTTCAACCAGGTGATTATTTTTTCAGTAAAAAACTTGATTAGAAGTGGAAGTACTTTAGTACTAGGACTTTATAATACAATGTTTTTGCCTGTTTCTGTGGTGCTCAGTGAAAAAAAAATTTTTATTATGTGAAGTGAAATTGTGCTTTTATTACTTCTGCTGGGCATCATCATATTTGTGTATAAATTTAATGTTTTGCTTAGTGATTACTTGGAATTAGGTGACTATACTGAGAATAACCCCGTCTCCTTGGGCCTGAGGTCTTGAGCTGTCACCTGACCCTACAATGCTGTGTGGCCTTGCAGCACAGGGCTCCCAGATGACTTCTGTATCTTTGTTGAGACATAAATAACACCTCATTTTACAGTGGAGAGTCTCAGTGATTCACTCATGGTTATTCCTGCTTTCTAATCACATGGTTATTTATATTATATTCATTTTAGTGTATTATTTTATTTATAGCACTTTTGTTGCTCTGGTCCTCTGATTTTCTTGTTGGTGATAAATTGGTCTGTGAAACTTCAGTTCTGGTTGTCTACTTTGTGGTTAATCTTAGGAACAGTACCTGGAAATGAAGATTTTTCTTCATCATTATTGTTATCATTATTTAATAAATATCTATTATGTGCTGGGCATTGTGGGAAATACAGAGGTGAATAAAGCTTGTTTCTTTCTTCAAAAAAAAAAAAAAGCAAACCAAATTTAATGTTTTGTTCTTCCAGATATTATGCCCTACAGTATTACATCTTCATTATATCTTCTTTTACCTGTTTCTTCTCATTACAATCCCTGTTCTATTGTCATAGTGAATTATTGCTTATTTCCAAAAAACATAATTTTATTTCAACTTTTATTTGGGCAGGGGAAGTTTTAATAGGATTTGTTTCTATCGTTCTCTTGGGACTCCACCTAGACATATATTGTTATGTTCTCTGAGTTTATTTTAATATGTTCTATTAGTTTATTTATCTTTTTCTGGTGCTGGGGATAAACCCAGGGCTTATGCATGCAAAGCAAAAGCTCTACCAAATGAAACATAGTCCCAGATTAATAGGATTTAATATCATTTAATTATTAATTTTTTCCTGATAAGAATTATAGACTGTCTTTATATCTACATAGACTATTGCATTTAGATGTTTATAGCAGCTTTATTCATAATTACCAAACTTGAAAACAACCAAAATATCTTTCAGTAGGTAAGTAAGTAAGTATACTGGGGCTGGAGAGATAGCTCAGTGGTCTAAAGCTCCTGCTTGGCAAAGCACAGGGACCATGGTTCGATCCTCAGCACCACATGCTGCAGTAGTCCCACCCCCAGAGTGGGCTGAGCTGGCCACAAAAGTAAATTAATTAATTAAAAAATTTTAAAAAGTATACTGTTGTCTCTAGTAATTTGAATATTTAGCTTATGAAAAGATATACAAGAACATTGTGCATTTTAAGTAGAATATGCCAGTCTTAGGGCCAGGAGATGGCTCAGTGGAATAAGTGCTTCTCTGGCAAGCGCAAGGGTCTGAGTTCAATCCCTGGTTCTGCAAAAAAAAAGAAAATGCCAGTCTTAAAAGGCTATAGTGTGTTATTCAAACTGTATGTGTCAGAGAAAAGCAAATAGAAGAAAGCAAAAAGGGGGAGTGGTTGCCCAAGAAAGGAGGGATGAATAGGCAAAGGACAGCAATAACTACCCACAGTAGACCCTAATATGAAATACAAGGTTGGGTAATATGACATGTTTACGTCAGTTTACATAGTTCTCTGGCATGATCAAAAAGGTAGAGAACCTCAGAAGGAAATTTGAGGGCAGGAGGCTGTTGTGCCCTGTTGTTTGTCATATAGCCTCAGTTTCCCCATAAAACTTTGGATTTCTTATCCCCATGATCAGTGTGTAGCGCAGCTTCTCATCCCCTTCTGCACTCATTCTTATTCCTTTAAAAAGTATATAGGAATACCATAGCTGTTTGTGTTGAAAGAGTAGTGATTCTGCTGGCACAATATGAGCAGAAAAGGAACACTGATACTACTTACAAATTGAATTTAAAAGTTAGGATTACGGAGCTATACTCAGTAAGTGTCTGCCCACCTAATATTCTTACAAGCTAATGAATTCAGGTTTTGAAAATCAAAATTCTATAGGAAATTAGAAAACAATTTTTGGAATATATAGATTTATGTGATTAGTAAATGTTAAAAGTAATGTTAATGCCCCAATTCCATAGGTTATTAGATGAATAATCTAAACTGGGACTGTAGTATGTTGATAACAAAGGATTTTGATGCTTAACACATTTTTTATTTTGCTACAAAGATTTATTGGCATTTCATATAGTGGCAATAATCATGAAGTGATTATATCTGAAGCACAAAAATGTTGGGTTATAAATGAACTGTGGTTTTAATGTTTTTCTTTTTTTTAATCATATTGTTAACTTTGTGATAGATATCAGTAGCTGATCTCCCAGGTTTGATAGAAGGAGCACATATGAACAAAGGAATGGGCCACAAATTTCTGAAGCACATAGAAAGAACTAGACAACTACTTTTTGTTGTAAGTCATATGCATACCAATGAACTTGTTTTTCCTAGAAATGTTTTGTAAGTAATACTTAAAAGTATAAGGGCCGGCCAGATAGTTCAGTGGACTAAAGCACCTGCTTAGGTAGGCACAAGGATCAGGTTTTGATCTTCAGTGTGCTGTGCCAGACCCACCCCCAGGGTGGGCTGAGAAGGTGGCTGAGACTGGGCATGGTGGTGCATGCCTGTAATCCCGGTGCTGGGGAGGCTGAAAACAGGAGGATTACTATGAGTCCCATATGTTCAATGAGACCCTGTACTAAATACATTAAAAAATAAAAAAATAAGATTGTATTGCCTAGTGACATTATAGGTTAATTCGTATAAGTACAATTTGTGATGTTCACACAATCATGCAGTTATTTACTGACAAGAGTTCTCAGAGTATATCCCTGTCTTAGGCAATGCATGACTGCACTATCACATATCACTCCACTACATATTCACAGGGACAAGTACAAACAGTACGTAATTCTTATTTTGAGGGGATGGAAATGATGTTAAGCTTAGTCATGATTGTGAGACCTCATTCCTTAAGAATTCTGCCATATTACTCATGATATATGGTATCTCTTCCATACACCGGTTGGTGGTGCCTAAGTTATAGATGAGATCGAATACATTGTTATAAATTGTCTTATAATGAGTACATTTTATGAGAATTATAGTTAGTTTGATACTTCAATTCTGTTACTTTGAATGACTAAATTATCATTATAGATTGAGAAATTACTTTTAGCTTGAATAAAATATTTGAAAACATAGAATTGTGTAACTGTTCTTCTGTTAACTATCTTTCGTGTTCTCTTTTTGTTTTTTTTAGGTTGATATTTGTGGATTTCAGCTTTCTTCCCGAACTAAGTACAGAACTGCTTTTGAAACCATAATACTGCTTACAAAAGTAGGTTTTCGATTTTACTGTATTATATATCTGATCTTATTACATAGGCTTGTAACATAATAATTAAAATAAATACATATTTCTTTTTAAAGCTTTTATATCAGTTAAAGAATTCTTTATATTTTTTATATCTAGTTCGTTACTATTCACTGGCTTCTCCAACTATTGCAATGAATAAAACCTTCCTGTGCTTCCAAATCCCTGATGCACCTTTATGGTGAAAACTTTCAATCTTGTAGTTTTTCTTAAATGCTTAATACATTATTATTAGTAATCATCTTTCTGTACAGGAGTAGCACACCAGAAATTCTTTAACTGTACCATAATACCCACTGATCAACCTTTTCCCCTCCGCCTCCCTGTGTCACACCCTCACTCCTCCTCTGGTAGCCGCCATCCTGCTCACAAGTTCCGTGATACCAGCTATTTCAGGTTCTGTGTGTGAGTAAGATTATTTGGTACTCTAATCTGTGCCTGGCTTTTTTTCACTTACCTAGTGATATCCAGTTCCATCCATGCTGTGACAAATGACAGGATTTCATTCTGTTTTAGGCCAAACAATATTCTGTTGTGTTTACTATGTTTTCTTTGTCATCAGTTGGTAGAAACTTAGGACCTGTTTCCATTTTTTCCATGTTGTGAACAGTAGTGTGCTGAACATGGGAGTACAGATACCTCTTTAACATGCTGATACACACCCAGTGGTGGGATTGCTGGGTCATACGCAATTCTGATTTAATTTTTAGAAAAATCTATTTCACATAATGGCTAATTTACATTTCTAGCAACAGTGTGCAAAGGGTCCTTTTTACCATGTCTTTGCTAACGGTGGTTACTTTTTGCTAATAGCCATCCTGACAGGTACAAAATGTTGTCTTTGGTTCTACTTTCATTTGCCCCCTGATGACAAATGAGACTGAGCATTTTTATATATCCCTATTGATCATTTGTACCTCTTCTCTCTCTCTCTTTTTTTTTTTTTTTTT